AGTTAAGTTTTTCTTTAGATTTTCTAAATGGTCTGTGTACATTTATAGAAAGAGATTAATATCATCAAGGAATATAGTTCCCGACATACCATTGTCTATATGATTTATCAAGTCAATTCCAAAAAAGGGCAACAAAGGTGAACTGGGCTCCCCCCTGTTTTACTCAAGATGTTGAGTCAAAGAAGGGGGGCAACTCCTAGTTAAACTGAACACAGGACTTTACAAAGTTATACGTTACATGCAGTGCTAAATAAAATTGTTACTTACGTTTCCGTTTAACAGTTTATGCCAGAGGTACCTGTGTTCAATTCTGTCAAAACATTGCTTGTAGTCGATAAATACGCCATGAAGGTTTTCGTTTTTTGCTAAAATTGAGTTTTAGATAAAATACAATCCAATATCGATTTTTCTTTTCGAAATTTACTGAAACATCACTGCATTCGCTCGATACATTGAACGTAATAAATCATCAGATTTAACATGTATTTTTCTATGAAATAGTGACTAAAAAAACAAATGACTTGCTAGAAATCGCTTGTTATGACAATTGAGTGTCTACCGTTCCCCTCGGCCAGGATATGAAAAGAAAACTGTACTCGAATGTTCTCAAAAAGCATTCAGGGGTTTTCAGAATTTCGATATAGCGTGGAAAGCTGATACAATTACGGGTACTCTGCGCCTTGTCTGATGAAAATCGGTTGAGTAATAAAGAAGATATAAATAACAAACATACCTGAATCGGGTGAATAATCGGCGTGCTCCGTACCCGAAAAGTCACGTTGCTTTAAATTGTGTTGGTGTGAATTAATTGTAAAAAGTAGTCCAGGTTGTAAGTCTGTTTAAAAGTATCTTTGAATATATTTAAGTATTTATGTTAATAAATGTTATTCCTTTGTAGTTTTTAGCATTATTCACGTCTCTTTTCTTAAATACCAGGGTAATTATTCCTTTACCCAATAGAACTGGGTATTCTGGATATTTATAAATAGATTTTAAAGACGAAAGTGTTATTTCAATCGAGCATTGAAAGATTGCTGCCGAAATTTGATCAATACCGAGATTTTAATTGTTGTGACGGAACTGTTTTCCCTATTTCCGACCTCGGTAATCTCTCCATTAAGCATTTCGTAATGGGATGTAATATTTTCGTCGAGTATATTAAAAAATAAAAACATCATTAGAGTAATTGTTATTTTGCCCAAAAATATTTTTAAAATGATTATATAAATCATTAATTGTGAGATAGTCTACTTATTAATTTCTTTCTGTATTTAGTTTTAGAATTTTACAAAATTTATGTGGAATTGAGGATGCGAATTTATTTAAACGGTCACCCTCTTCTAAATAATATTTTTACTTTCTATACGTTGTCCTAACAAACCTTTGTTTATTTGCATTCGTTTTATTCCTGTTAAACAAGTTCTTAAGAGATTTTAATTCCATACTTTTTCTAAAATATTCGATGTATGAAATATATCATTAGCCTCTAAATAATAATGGTAATATGTTTTGGAGAGCCCTTAAGTAGTGCCAGCCCTACTGGGGCCGTATCGATCACGTGGGCGGTGACGTAAGTATACTACTGAGGATTATGCTACTTGCATATGATTTATCAAATGATTAATTTTCTGTTTAATTGGTTGGTTATAAATAGTTTATACTTTATATGATGTTAGTGACAAGTTTTAATTTTAATTTATCTTAGATATTCGTAATTAGTCGGTGCACAAAGCGACGACGCCCGGAAAGGGCACCTGCCGACTTTAATTCTTTGTCAGTTTTCCCTTTCATTATGTAAGAAAAATAGTTTATAGTCGATGATAGACGATTCAGACAATCATACCACTGACAAAAGTACACATAAATTCAGGTTTAAAAAAGGAAACAAAATAAAGACAACTTAAGTTAGTCAATAAAATTTTAATTTAGAGGATGGACCGTCGTATGTGTGGTAATGACGTTAATAGGGACATGCTATTGTTCTATTTCAAATGTATCTCTAAAACACTTCTGGTGATACATTGTACATGTTACAAGTAACATTAAAATGTGTATATACGTGCTGCAGGTATGATGCGCAACATGGTGACATGTTGCGCATCATTAAACTTAATAGGATTTATAGAGAACGAGTTTGTTTCTGAAATATATTTATCCCAACATTATTATTAATCTTTTCTGTCTCTCTTTAATCTTCTTGTAATCCATGATTGTATTACTTGTTTGTTTAGATCGAACAAGTAAATGCCTGTTTAAGAAAGAGGACTGGCAAATGCGACGATATGGATTCAAACTACAAACATAAATTTAATGCGAAGCATGTAAAATGTTTATGTATCGAACAAAGGGATTTATAGCTCCTCTGTACACCTTTCATTTCCACCAGATAATAAAAAAAATGCAAAACAACATTTCAATGTTATGTCCCGAAATGATTTGTTTGTAAGTAAACGTTTTAAGTAGATATAAAGTATACAAAAAAGTTCTAGATATAAATGTAATTACACATTATTTCATCCCGCTTGTCCCTAAAAGAATCAATAGATAAAAATAAGAAGTAATATTGACCAACAATTATGGATACATGAACTGATTGTACACACTTTTAACATTGATGGAAATAAAGGTGTTTGCAAAATATGGTTGAGTTGACCGCATTTATTTTTAACAAAGTTTGAATAAACGAAATACATGTATGCATGACGAAAAAACATTTTTGAAAATAATCTGATAAGGAAGAATAAAAAAAATCTTTACATCTTTGATATGTTTAGTATTTTTCTACATACAAAATAATTATTCTGCCTATTCTCTTTTCTATACCAACTATTTTAAACGTTTAGAAAGAACACATTAATGGATAATGTTATGACAAACACGGTTTATCTGTAGCGTTTTTAAATATATATATGCAAATTCAATACTATTTACATGCAAAATTGCATGCATGTTATGATTTACAAATACGTACATTTGAATCTATGCAGTAGAGATAGTGGCACAAGCCATGACGTCATTTTGACGCCAACGTGATTCTTAATTCTCAATCAACATGAAAGCAATGATTTATTCATTTCGTCCTTGAAATACAATAGCTGCATTCAAAGAATATCAGTCTGCAAATACCCTGTGAGCAAAACTATGACTGGTCCCTAATATGTCTATAAGATAACACTCGTTCGTCCCTCTGTCTCTGTTTAGTAAACCACTAGCTGACCTGACAATGTCGTCGTGAATTTATGTTGTCTAATCCACTTGGAAATTGACTGTAAAGCGTCTTTTCACAACGGAAATATATTTGCATCGTCCTTCCTTGTTGCATATGTATCACTTGTTCTGTTCATGAACGTCAAATTATCTCAATTTCGTTTTACTTTTTCTATTCTACTGGTTTAGTACATCATGCTTCCTGTTGGAATACATTTATATGGGATGTGTAAAAAATGAAGTAATGAAATTAGTTACGTTACGCCCGTCGAAGACTCGTGGATTATTATTCCAGGCGCTTGTAGATGATCAATTGTACGTCGAAAAAGAAATAACTCGTTTTGTAAAATTTAGACGTGTGCCGGTTGACAGAATTTCAATATTTCAATTAAACAGAAACTAAAATAATATCAATGGTGTATTCAACTTAAAATTACAGCCCGGTTAAATACTAGTAGTTTGAGAATCGTGCGTATTGTCTTTTATACAAACGTTTGGGACATCCCTCTCATATTAATCATAAAAGGCTTACCCGTATGATTTAAATATTGCACAATCATGCATACTGATGACATTAAGTTGATGCTGCGTATAAAAGATACCGCTTGTGTTGAGATTCAGGAGATCCAGATTTTTCTCAACTGTAAGGAGACACACAAATAAGGTTGGTAGAAGTGATATTTATTGAAATGATTTTACATTAGACACATTTACAAATCTTTAAATTAATTTTTTTATAAATCACATTTTGATAAAGAATTAAATTCATATAGGTTTCTTATCATAATATGCGTGGTTTGATTACAGTAGCATTTTAACTGAAAATAATTTATTATTGTATCAGAGGATCTATTTACATTGAATTGATACATACAGATATTAGAAATGACTTGTTTCATTGATATAAGCAGCTTATAGTGTAGGAGATTGGACACTACTTTAGTCGGTGCTTTTTGTTTTCATTGCCCTCGAAGGACATGCTCTTTCCAAGAATTGTATTCGTAGAGTTGTGTATTTTATCTGAACATCTGGAAAAGCATTAACCGCAACAAAATTACATGAAAATTGTAGACTCGGTTTGATTGAGCCTGTACATGAGAAATAATAAAAAAGTGCAACATTCCTCGCGCCTCACCCCCCCCCACCCCTGACATCGGCTCGAGAGGTACTCAATTTTCAACACTTGTGCTGGAATTGAAGACTATTTTATTGTCACATCAGTGTTATTTGTGCCGTGTGGCGGCTGTTTTTAAAGTATCCCCGTACATTTAATCAAAGATGTTATATTTTCTATCCTTGAAGATCGTCCGGCATATGTAATGTGGTAATTTTAGTTTCTTCGATTTGGCATTTTTCATCTTGGGTGGTTTCAGTTTTCCTACTTGAATACTGTATAATCAGGATATTTATTTTGACCTCTTATCTGTCATAACCTCAGATCCCCTTTCAAAATTCCATTTTATTTATTTCCGCCTATTGTTTTCTTGTTTAGGGCACACGCATTCTTTTACTTGGGAACCATACGCCGCTTTTTATAGAATGGCAATACTGTGTCAGATTGAATGTTCCATGAATTATTGCCGTATGAACACATCTGCTGATGTTCTAAATTCAAATTGTCACCATTTAAGTGTTAAAAAGTGATTCTGTTTTTCTCTATTTTATTGTGAAAATTGTTCCTAGTTACGAAAATAGCTTTCCCCTACAAAGTTATATCAAATATAACTAAAAATACCGGTATATATTGAATAATCACATTTCTTTATTTTTATTCTTGTTCATTTGATTATTTCAGACACAACATAAGCATGCGATTTAAATAGCTTTGTGTGTTATTAAGGTGGTCGTTGTGGCCACTGTGATTCAAGAACCCCAAAATAAATATGAAGGTTTTAAAAGTAAGTAGAGATAATTTATTCTTGCCGTGAACAATTTCTAAGATGGACTTGTCTGTTTTCCAATCTTAACAAAAGCATTTACTATTTTAGGGAAAATTTCAAAATATATAATGACTGAATGGCTATCGATGTAGACGATGATTAGTGGACACGCATGTAGCGGCTGATCTTGGTCCGTTTGCTGGTCAAATTTGTAAAAAATGTTGCCATCAGCAAGCTTAGCGTAATAGTTATATAGAACCTTTGCTAGTATCAGCTTATACCGATAATCGTAAGAAAAAAATGTATGCCAATATACCATGCGTTGATGTAAATGCGCTGATATTTCTGAATACCACAAATGATCAAAGTGTAAATGTAGTCTGGAGTAATGGTGTCGTGTAAGATTAATATAATACAGATACCATATTAGCGTCCACAATGCTTACCGATGTATGAACATTTAAATGGGGACTTTTCCTTCAAAACCATTCACCATTTAAAGGGAAAATTTCAAAATATGAACAGACTAATAAGCTAGCAGTGTAGTCCAACATGAGACGACACATATGTTTATGCTGATCTTGGTCTGCACAATCTGCTTAAGTAGAACCTGCTGGATTCAGAAGGTAAGGGTTTAGTCTCATTTCTACCAATGATATATATTCTATGTTGAAATCTTTTTTAAGCCTGTGTGGAGGAAAGGCGCATTAGCTGAGGCACGTGGAAACCACTACCGTCCACGAAAAGCCTCTATCAAGCATTGCCTGCATTATTTTAATATTGGTCTTAATATATGTTTTTTGTTGTTGTTTTTTTCAGAACTTTTATGTTCATATTGGTACAACTGGCCATGGGTACTTAAAGGTATAATTTATCTTTACTTTCTTGACATTCTAGATATATTGACAATTTGCTTTCAGGCGGTTGTAATGAGTTGAATTAAGATATTATTTACGTAGTTTGAATCGTGTATTCCACTCATTGTTTGGACGCACAGTTTAGTGAAATAGAAAATTTCTAAAATGAAAGCATATATTTAATCGCAATATTTTTCTCACCATTTGGATAAGAATCAACAAAATTTATCTCTAACTCCTAATTATAATAAACGTTCTTTGAAATGTCTCGATATATGTCAAAAGTATTGATATTTCTTCCCTAATGCTACACTGCTTTCCTCTGTTTACTAATCAAATATTTTTTCTTTCATAAATTAGTTGAAAGAATGAAACCAATAGAACGATTACCTCAAATTAGAACGCTGGTTGGAAATTGTGAGGTGGATGTTGGTACTTGCCCAATTGGATCCTGTTCAATATTTTGCCCGGATGACGGATATATATGCCCCGAAACGGAAACCCGAATGAAAGACTGTGGGGTGTTTGGAAGCAGACCTTACGAATATGTCAAGCAATGTGGATGTTGTAAGGATAATGGTATTGTTGTCATTGGTGTTGTAAAAGATCAAGTCTCTCAACAACCTGTAGATAGCATATTTGTCTTTTTAGACCTCAACACTTTAATTACCGGGAAAGATGGTATTTTTAAGACTACAATTGGGTCAAGCGTTCGACGGATCGTTATAAGGACGAAAAAACAAAATTACTTGGAAGCTGTCAAAGTCGTTGACATACCAGAGGGTTTCAGAGGTCCTGTGCAAATTGAAATTTTCGTCATTATGAAATCCGATCCAGTGAAAATCGATTCAACTGAAAGTACAGTACTTTCTCTGTCATCTAATCCACTAGACCCAAAAGCCGGTAGTACACTTGTTGAAATTCAAGCAAACTCATTCATTTATAGCAATGAAAAGCCATATCAAGGCATAGTAAAAGCAAGCATTACTTTTCTTGACACAGGAAATAACCCTGACATTGAAGTTCCAGGTTTATTCCAAACCACCATTGGAAATACGGTTGAACCTCTTATCACAGATGGTGTATTTTCTTTCAATTTTGAAAGTGCTGATGGAATAGAAATCAAGCTTTCTGCACCAGTGAAATTTACAGTACAAGCTGGTATGAAAGTATGGAAACTTAATTCATTTACTGGTTTATGGGAATTAGTTAGACCCGCTGTAAAAAGAAGGAAACGACAAGTTTTACTTGAAGATATCATCAACATTGAAAGCGATCGTTGGTACAATATTGATAAGATTCCTGGCGCTCCAAGATGCTACTTTAAAGGTAGAATCTTTGATAAAATGAGTGGGACAGAGATCACGAGCAGCAGTACTGTATCATTTAGGCCAGAAATTACAGCATACACAAGTGCCAAAGAACGTTTGCGTCTGTATTTCAAATACACAACCAAACCAAGTACAACATGCTATGAAGTGAGATGCCCATTAGTAAGTAATCCAGATAATAACCTTTCCGGTTTTATTAACATGTCTTCAACAGAGGTTGTTTCAATTGGAGGAACAAATGTTCCAATCGTTACTTATCTTACACCAAGAGAACTTGCTGACTATGACGATGCAAATATAGAGCCAAAACTTTCCGATGTTCTATATAAGATTGCGCCAAATAATTTGGATATTTTTGTGAATTTTGTTTCCGACACAGAGGGTCCTTTTTACAGTAACAAAACTATTTGCGAAAGTTCGAGTATAAAACAGCCTGCTCTTCATTTCTTTAAGCCAGATTTGCCAAGCTATGATCCTGTCCCTGATGACGCTAAAATTTGCACTGCAAGAATTGCATTCAGAGGTCATAATAACTTCTACAGCAATATTTCAAAAATTACAAATCTGCCAAATGTGACGGGAATCAGCGTGTGGGAACAGGACGGCTCCAAATTCTACTACACAGATGTTGCTCAAATGGAACTCCTCACAAATGGCAATTATACTTTTGTTTTCATTTGTCTTAAATACAGATGTAGTCAAGAGAATGAATTAACTACAGTGTACATCGTTGCAAAGGAGGTTCAAGTCCCTTTGACAGATGGTGAACAATTTATAGATTTTCGTTGTTACGGAAAACAAAACATTAGCGCTGAATTGAATGTTAGAGATGATAAATATTCTACAATTACAGGTTCATTCACTGCACCTGTCAACGTCGGTACAGGTCCAGATTTTTATAACACGGACGTCAACGATTGCAAGCAGGAGACGAATCCTGCAGTATTTGCTTACGAACTGTATTGTAGAATGCTTCTTGTGGCCTAGCAAATATTGCCTTTCTTCAAGTAATCCTTTTCTTTATATTTTATGCAGTTATTTGAACATTGTAAGCCATTTTGTCTTAAAATGTGTCCATGATTTAATTAACAATTAGGGAAAAGGGAAACTAAGTGTATTGTTTTAGTTTGTATAAATATGCTTAAGTTGTCTAAAATAAATAAAAAAAACTTTTAAGTGAGCTCAACACGGCGAAACTGAGTGTTGCAGACTTGGAGGCTTCCGAGGCATCACCTATTTTCCAGATTTTATACTTCATATCAGCAGGTGTCAAGTGTGGTGTAGCAGCTTTAAAAAAAGTCCTCGTACTTCATTTCAGTGTTGTTATATTTTTATATTCCTTCGGTATCATTTATTCCAGCTCTTTTAAGTGTTGAAAATTCAGTACCGCTTAAGCCGGTCCTAGGGCGTGTGAGGGATGATGTACTTTTTCATTAGCCCTCGAGTAAAGACTCAATCAAAGCGAGTCTGCAATTTCTGTGTAATTTTGTAATCATGAATAGTGATTTCTCGGAATTACATTTTTTTTCTAGATTTATGGAAAAAATGAGAATGCCCTTAGACAAAAAAGTACACCTAGTATAATGCAATAATATTTGCAATTATAAGTAAATTTACAAAACTAAAATACTCGTCATTAATATATAACAAAGCTGTCTTCATTTTTTTTTAAATTTAGTTGAATATTAAAGTATTTTAGCCTGAAATGTGAGAAAAAAAGCTGGATTCTTCTAAGAATCTTTCCAAGTCTGCCTCCGGAAATTTTACAATACTGGTACATGCATACACATCGTTCTGGACCTGTAGGGTTCGAAACTAAAGGGGGAAACAAAATATGAATAACAAGAATATCAAGGAAGGGGGCTTTCAATGAACAAGCCTATAAGTGTTACGTTTGATGAACAAAGAATATAGTGGTAATGTAAATTTTACTAGAACATTAAGCTGATAATCAATATACATTTCTTGAAACATAGACTGCTTTTAAAATATTTAAACAAACATTTACATATTGATCATCGGGCAATATTTCTAAAACATACATACGCGTGTCACAGGGGCTGTGGGACGATGTACACCTTTATCATTTCAACTAGGGGCAGAAGGAAAGTGTGGCACTTCCCCGGTTTCTTTTCAACATATTTATTGAAGTTCCACGAAATAGACGCCGATGTTTGATCTGGGAACGACACAGGTTGCCGTGAGGGCCCCATTATTGCCCCAAAACAAACGCCGAGGATTGGCATTCTTAATTTGCCCTGTGCTAGAACGCCCCAGGGACCCTTTAGTCGCGGTACTAATCCTATGAACACACCAAGCATGTATAATAAACGAACTGTATATGCTGCACAGTCGCCATAAAAATGGGTATAGATTGTTTGACATGTTACCCGCGGCTTTTGTTAACTTAGGGCATTTACAGTGCGACCAAGTTCTTAATATGACAATGGCGTTTCCAGGGTGCTCGTGCTGTCGCTATATGGGCCATATGATCGCCTAAGTCGCCGTAGAGGCGTAGTACACACCCTAAGAACGCACTAAAGACCCCTTAAAATTGCATATAACCGCAATAAGACCCTTATATGAACGCCTTATGAACGCAAAAAAAGCAGGGCGCCTTATGACGTTTTGCTGCAACTTGCTCGCACAAAAAATTAATATGTAATATAAAATTAAAATCAAATCAAATAAAATCAAAATGATATAAATCAAAAATCAAAAAAAAAATCTTGGTTCCTAATATGACTACGGCGTTTTCGGAAAAAATACCGGTTTACGTCGGCGTTAGAATACCGTATCGGTTTGAGACAAGGCTATTTATTCAACATATTCCAGTCAATCATCTTCTTTTTCACCTTCAAAGAATATTTTAAGTATTTCGACAAGAAACTAAAGTGTATAAACTGAAAAAAGTAGAAAGAAAAAAGAAAACAATGCTATACATGTATTTATCACCTAAAAAAACAAAAAAACAAAACAAAAAAACAGGTAAAAAAAAAAACAGGTTCATTTCGTTCTATGGCATGTTAAACGTTGCAATATTTAATAAATTAAATTTTTGTTCTATATTCAATTTTTATATTGTATAACTCTAATTTCATATTCTATACCATAATATTTATTCAATCCTGCTGAATATTTGTTCATCATAAATAAAAATATTTGTGTGCGATAATTTTCTATATGTATGTTCTATATTCGAAAATATATATTGTATAATTAAAATATTTATCGTATATAGATCTACTGAAAAACATTTATTCGATAATTTGAATCATGGGATAGAACACTTAGCATACTAAGTCCCGCCTATAAAGTAAGCACGAATGTTTGATAAAGCGTTATCATCCTGATTAAACTAGACTATATAGTGTAGTAGAAATGATCAGTGTCCCTGTGAATGTCACATGTAAATAGTGCATATGCTTAATCCTCCTTATAAATGTATATGTAAAAATGAAAATAGATTTTAAAGTCTACAGGACATGCAATCGTATAAATAGAGGATATTGAATGAATGTAGGTTCGCTGTGTTCATTGAACGCCGCCTTTCCTTGATGATCTTGTTTATCATATTTAATACTTAATTTATTGAACTCGTTGAATAAAACAATATTATGCGAGCTTCTATTCGCTAACATTAGCGCACATTACGCAAATGACGTCGCGCAATAATATAGTATATGTAATAAAATAATTGGCTTTATTACCCTCCCGCAACGCGGTTTATGTAATATTAATAGACTTGTTACTATATATAGTCTATATTTTCCGATGTTACTATATATAGTAACAAAATTGCCTATGAGTATAGGTTAGAGTGCATATTGGGTGTTCTTCGTAAATAAGAAAGCTAAAAAGGAGCGGAGCTTGCGAAGCGACTGTAGCATATAGCACTCTAACCGGCGTGTTTTGCATAGCTTATTCCCGCATTCTGTTTTGGTAAATCAGACAATATCACGGTGCATATCCATATCGGTACCCTCTTTGCGAAATATTCTCAAACGGTACCCTCTTTGAACAAACACATAAAAACAAACCATCGATGGATAACAATGCAGTAAAAATTCATTGTATTAAGGGAAGGAGGTATGAAACGTAGAAAAGATGTATACCACGGAACACTAGAATGTTTTATTTATGTGCTGATTTGTCATGTGCCCGATTTTAATGTACTGCAACTTCACAATAAGCTACAAAAAGTCGACATGTCTTGCCTCGCCCGTCACCTCGACATATTTTTCGGGCTGAAATGAACCTGTAGCTTGATTATATATGCAGCATACATATTTATTATGTTCATATACATATCATCTTCGGACAAATGGCAGTATATTGTCAAAAATAAATGTAAAATTAATAAAAACACCCTACTTTCGGTTTTGCAGCGGCACGGGCTGTAATATTTACATAAAAAGTAAGAAATATTACATACATACTTTGTTGGAATAAGTGAACTTTTTATTTGGAAATTATAAAATGATACTTGTTCCGTAAGTAATAAAACATTTTAACTGTTATTTTGCCTGTTTTCATTTCAATCACGGATTTATAAATCCGTGTTTCAATGAACCTCTTTTTTTACTTCTATGCCGTAGTGACGATATACATGTGCGTGTACGGAAAAAACATGATGCATAAATATTGATTAGTAGGAGTAAACTTCAAGATCTCTGCACATGCGCATATTTCACTTTAGCGCTCTTCGAAACTTAGCTCCGCCCACTTGCGTTTTATAATATAAAACGTCCAGTTTATATAAAATCTGTTCTATTAAGATTTGAAACCTGAAAATTTGAAAAATCCTCGTCGGTGATTGGCTTAAAAAAATTGGCGAGCACTAATTTCAACTGGAGTGTAACGTGACCTATTATGAGTGTGTGGCCCGGGCAGAGAACTAGTTATCAGCCCGCTGAACATGTGCACGTGCACAAACTGAAACAATGACGTCATATTTTACGTCATCAAACAGTTAACCGTAAAAGTGAAAGTATGTTTTTAGCACGAATTGCTTGATTTTATTATGAGAGGTTTTTTAAAACCGTATTTCGTACAAACACAGTTTTTTTAACTATTGAAATTTAAAGAAATATTACAGTACGACACGTTCATTGCGAAAAAAAAGAACATAAAACTTGCTTTGACTACCGCCCCCCTTCAAACCCCCCAAACAGAAGGGGGCACATCCCCCTTCTGGCAACCCCCAGACGGGGGACGGCGCCGAAAAAGTGGTCACTTTTTTAGACAACATTTCTCAAACAAAAACAAGTGTTGGGGGCCTAAATGGACCTATGTGAGCATATCATGTAAGATGCATTTACTAAAAAATGCACGGCACATAAATCGGAAAATATGCCCTATATAAAACGAAAAATACCAACAAGAAACATTAACAACTGAAAATGTTATGCTGTAATGAGGCAAACTTCCGTTCTCTCCATCTGTATTTTGATTGCTGATAAATCGCACATGTAATAGACTATTACATGTCTTATATTATTATAATTTTGCTGCATGATAATGTATTATACATACGAAAAAATAAAAGAATAATACAACTAAGAACAAAATTGTCATTATTTAAAAAAATATAACCAATTTTTAACGGGACTGTTAAATTGTAAAAAGATCACGATAAGACTATTACGAAGAATAGTAAAATGATTTATACAATTGTAAACCAAGAACATAATAATCCATAGCTTTCGCAGAAGCGGTGGGTCCATCGAAGCCGCGGTGGAAATTTCGTCGCAGAAGCGGTGGATAATATATAACCGTTTGCTTTTGTTGGTACGTTTATGACTGAATTTTGCTTAATGCTTAAATGTTTTACTGGAAACACCTAGTGAGACTGGAGCCCACTTTTCCAACTTATTACACGCACACGGTGCAATTCATTGCCATTTGTGCAATCACTTCTGTACAGTTTGACGAGGGGACGCCACTTTTGCCTAATTTTGGTTAAAACACGTTCACATACACATGCAAAACGACCCATAAATACGCCAACATTACATGGTATGTATGATAAATGCTCAAAACAACCATATTTTGGAACTTTTGAAAATTGTTTTTGCCTTTTTTATAGAAGAATAATTATTGACAAAAATTGTTTACAAGCAGACGGCGGTTAATTTGATTGCAACGCAGTGCGTTTGACCCGATACAATTACTGTGTATTATGACATACCTCATTTTTCAACACAGTACAACACCTTTCTTACATCGACATCAGATAAAACGTGTTTCTTTAGTTTAATTAAAATAATATGATTATTAATGGAAATAGATGTTTGAGTTGCGCTTCCATTTTACTTCCATTTTAATTCCTTTGGTAGAATAGTTTACGTTCAAAAGACCTTGAGTTCGAGGTTTAACAACAAACATATAAAAGAAATTCCGGTAAAGATTAACAGAACCTGCTTCTTAAATATGAAAAACAATCTCAGTTTTGAATGTCACTGTGTTATATTACCATAGTGAGAACACCAATTCATACTTGTATCATAGTTTGGGGACCTTTCTGTTGGTTTGGTTTAAACAATATTTATTTCTTCATCAATATTTACAGACAAAATTACAATATATAAATTTCATTCAGGATTGAGTAGAAAACTTGGAGCTTATATGAAACTCTCTCCTGTAAAAACATATCTACAATTTATTTTAGTAACAACATGACATAGCAAAAGTTCATTGTACCTGCATTTAATTCCTTCCATATATTTACAAGAAGATAATATATACCTACTACGTATGACGTAATTTGTAAAGGATCATAATGAGGAGCTGAACATGTCAAGTGTGTAATGCAATGCCTGTCTGTACCAAATTTAAATAATTTCTCGACATGGGGGAAAGGGAGATAAATAGACAAAACAGAAAAAAGAGACCAGAATAGAGACAAAAAGTGGAGTAAAGGGGGGGGGGGGGGAAAGGGGGGTCACTGTAATATAATGGAAAGTGTAGGTCCTATCCAAGAATATTACAAGATTTTTTTTTTATTTACCAAGTATTGACACTTTAAATGATTTCTTTATAAGTAATATAGTAATAAGTTTCCTTGTGACAATATGCTATAATTATTATAGCATATAATGAGGAAACACATAAAACAAAGGCTATGGAAGCAAGATAAGGGTAACTCTTACGAAACGAATTGAAGAGCGCCCTTACTTGCATAATACCTTGTAAGTTTATTACAAAGTATCTTAAACACATAGATAAACAAGATTTTCCAAATTCCATATTCAATTAGCATTTCAAGTTCATATGTATGCATTGTTAAAGCGTCTGCATGCATACT